AAAAAAAAAAAAGAGTGCTTTCCTGTTGTACTTTGTAATGTAGAGGAACATTCTACCATATTCTAGAGGTGACCTATACCATGAGGTGCTGTGACAGTCCATATATTTAGATATATTTCTATAATAACCCTGTTTTATACAAGCCTCAGTGCATCCTCATGGAGGTTGGTTTCATTTTGTCTGGTTCTTAGGATTTTGCCCCCAAACAATGTACACAGTGTGGGGGACAGTTCATAAAGCCAGGAGTTATGAAAGTAATATGTCATGTGAAGATGTGGAATAGGAAGTTGAAGATAAAATGGAGAACAGTAGGCTGTTAATGGAGTAGAGTTTTAATGACGAGTAAGTGATTTTAGAGGCCTTCTTTTTCATGGTAATAATATATTGTGAATGCTGCACTGGTCAAAAAGGCATCAAATGTCATGATCACAAGCAATTTTAAATCTCAAACAGAGCTGGGCTCTAAGCCTTATGTGCTGTTCCCAGTCAAAGGAGACAGTGACCTGTTGCATCCATATATAGTTCTGTAACAATCGCATTGCCCATGTGAAATGAGCAGACTGAAGTTGACCAAACACGAGGTCCTACTGCCTAGCAGAAGTGATGGGTGATGGAACAAAAACCTATTTTAGAAATTAGAAAGACCGTGAGTTATGCAAGCAGTCATATTCTAATTGTGTTTTCCTTAAAAGGGTGGCTTTGTTTGCCCCGAATGTGCTTTGTTATCTGGCTAATAATATAACCCAATGCATTTGGCACCTTTTTATATGGCTAGGCCTATGCCCTTTTGTGTGAAATAATCTGGGTGCCATTTTGTGGTTTAACCATATATGAAGTGGCAGGACAATGGTGTTCAAACTATGGTAGCTACACCTCAGAGAAGCTTGGGGTCAATACTACAATCCAAATTTTCTCTCATTCTGGAAAACCGATATGTCTTTTTCCAAAGTCTAATGAACATGGAAAGGCTTTTAAAGACCCTAACTAATCCTGAATTGGATTATCTTATGGCGATAGGCTGGAAGTAACTGTTGTGATAAGGAAGTCTGTTGATCAGTATTAAGTACTTCTATCTTAATACTATGTTGTAAGTTGTTTGAAGAAAGGAAGTTTAAATAGTGTGAAAGCTAAAGAGGAAAACCTAGATGGGAATCTAAAGGAAAGTGTATGCATATTTAAGGAAAGAGAAGCATGTACAAGAGATAGAGAGGAGAAGACCTTAAATCCTTCTGGGCTGAAAAGACTGACACCAACCTTAATGAGGAGGCTCAAATTCATACTGATGATGATGTACACTGATACTGGTGCACGGTACTTTAATGTGTCTTTGAGACATCACTATATAATATTACTGTAACTTTAAAGCTGAATTGGCCAGTTAGTGCATATGACAAGTACCCCACTCCCTTGTATACCATTACTTATGGCGAGCTGGGTCCGCTCCTTCCCTGTGGAGACACTCTGAAATAACTTTATTAGCTGCTTTAAGAAGAATCAATTTGACAAACCATGGGACAGAGAATTCTCACTGCTGTGGGGTGTGATGTCACTGACCTCAATATTCCAGGCCATTTCTCTCTGATTATCCCTGTTGCCATTATGTGCTTTCTTATTTATGTTTGAGACGTTTATTTTTCTGTATATTTATATATTTTTATTTTAAAAATAATAGGGGGAAACCTGATAATTGGATTAGGCAAACAGGTTGTTCTGTTGGGATTGTGGTATAGACCTGCAACAGCTAGTGAGCCTGAGGTTGCCCCAGCATGTTGCATATCTTTTCTTTACTTAAAGGGGGTTTCCACCTTCAGATATGTTGAATTTGTTGCTGTGTAGAGGCAACTTGGCTGTATTTACCAAGTACATAATTTTATGTTTTTGAACTCCTTCTGTATTTTCCAAAAGTCCTACCTTATGGCTGCTTGACAGAGTTGCTTAATTTCATTGCCTTTTGATACAACACAGCTTAGCTTGGCCTTGTGCTTGTGTATACAGTGCTATACACATGTATAGACCACAGCTGCCTTATTACTGGGCAATGGGTATAGACAACTTGCCTGAACAGATGATACAAAATCCTGGGGGAAAAATCAAACACAGATCATTGTGTTGCACTAAAGTAGATATTCGTGTACAATCGAATTGTGGTTCATGTTTTAAGGTAAATTCTGGAAGTATTCCATTAGAATATATACATACACTTTATGTATTACTGTTTTTGCAATACCAGCTCAAACGTTTTCACATTAAAATTTAAAAGAAGAAAGGATGTCCTAACATCTGAGTGTTTCAAGGGGTTTAGATTTTTTTTTTTTTTTTTTTCTTGCATTGAAATTTCACAACATTCACCAAGCTAAGGGAAACATCCCACACAAAGTGAAAATT